AAAGGCTTGCATCCCCTCCCCAGTAATATCAGCATTGTGGTGATGCACAGAAAAGCTGCCATGTTATCTGCCCCTAGCAATTGTAATGTCTTCTAGAGACTGTGCCAGGCTTAGTCATCGTCCCTGGATTAACTTGCCCATCTTACTCCTGGCTCTGAGACACCCACAGCTGAGCCCTAAGACACATTTCTCTGACTTGCTGCTTAATTCACTGTCAGCTATCACTTAATACAAACAATTTATTCCTTGACATGCTTCTTCGTTTCCAATCTTCCTGTTTTTCCAGCCCAGTCGACCATAAACTGGAGTTTCTTTTCAGCTCCTCATCCCATTTTTTTTTGAAATAAGTTTTTATCTTCCGTCCCCATCTCAGCAGGCTTTATCCTAGGTTACTTTTGTTCTCATTCTGAGGTCAACTTTTGTCCTTTTGTATTTAAATCAGACTGCTGCTCCTCAAATACACCTTCGAATGCCTGCTAGGGGAGCAGAGGATGTTGATATGTCTCAGGACCTCCAAGGAGATGGAATGTGCAGAGCCTGGGACACCCAAGAGCTGTGACAGGAGTTTGAAGTGGAATTTGGCACTTCTCACTTGTAGTGAAAATGTACTGACTGCTCTTTTCCAAAGTGCAAAATTTAACTCTAAATTAAATTTAGGATTTTGGGGTAGTGGAATATGCCCAACTCAGATCATTCTTCTGACAAGTTTTATGTGCTTGCTGGAGCCTAATGGGTGCAGCAATATTTCAGACAAAAGATTTCCAGAAGGTAGCACAGGTAATGTAATTTTTCTTAGGTCTGTCTCTTGCAAGCAGCTCAACTAACTTGTGCCCAGTAATAAAGCTGAGAGACATCTAGAAGGACAAATTTCAGTGTGCCTAGTTTGGCAAAGTTATTCTCCGTGATTTTATCACTGAAAAGATTTAGAGAGTGTTTTGCTGCTTTTTCCCTCAAACTTAAAAATATAATTCTCAGAGAAACTAATGCTTTGGTTGGATATGATGCAGTCCTCAAAAACTGGTGTCTGCCCCACTTGGGCACTGTGCTCTGCTACCTTGACAAAACCCTGGGCTGGCTCTTTCCTGATGCTTAGCACTTGTCTGTTACAAGGTAACATTCTGAAATATTTTTTTTTATTATTATTTCTAATTGTTGCCAGTTTTTTTTTCCCCGAAAAGCTGCAGCTTATTGCTGTGTGACAGAGAATCTGCTCAAATGTCAATCTGGTGCCTCAAGGGGCATGGGTGGGTGTCACACCACTTCTCAGCAGCTCTCAGCGCATGCTCATCCCCCACTAGGGAAAACCCAGTAGAAAAATCATTTCTGTTTTGAGGCAGGACTGAGTTACTGCTGGTAGGGACCTCTTGAACCAGCTTTCTGTGGGGCCTGATGAGGACATCAATCAGATGCTACCTGCACCAGGAGAGCAGGGATGGAGGGAGGATGCAGAAGGGGTGGTGTCAGCAACCTGATAGACCCAGGTAGCCATGAAGTCAAACCAGCCCATGAAGGGGAATGGGCTATAATTTCCTATTTGCACCTTTTCCATCCCTTTTTTCAATTAATTACTACTATATTTGATCCTTCTCTTCTATATAAGCATAACTGCCTTCAACTTCCTCTTGGAACTTAATCCATGAGACTGAGTATTGTAAAGTAAACTGCATTAGGTCCTGTGTACTTGAAAATACTTAGATTATCCTAGGAGTTTTAAAACTATTTTCCTCTAGAGACAAGTGTTCTTATTAAAGACATTCTTGAGGGTTTGCCTCTAATGTTTATTGTGGGAGCTATTTGGGTTTCTTTTTTTTTTTAAAAAAAAAAAGGTATTGAAGCTGAAAGGGCAAATCTACGCAGGACTCAAGATGCCACCAAGTTTTTAGTGGTCTGCACTGAACAGTGGTCTATAATTGTATCTATACCAGGGATTGCTCATAGTATTGGAAGAGAAACTTGACTTAAATTAGTTGATGGCACAATTTTTAGGTCTGGAGCAAGGGGTTAGGTAGGTATCTGGTTTAGCTTAATGGGATGCTTTCCTGTTACTTTTGTGTCTCTTGCTGGAATGTATCAGTTTGTGGCTTACCTGTCTCATAGTTCCATGTATTTTGTGCTCCTTTCACTGTCTCCCTAAAGAATCTGACTTCCCGTTTCTTGTGCTCACATTTCATGTCACTGAGAAATTTTTAGTCCCTTTGCCTCCTATCTGTCCCTGTCATTTGTGATGCTTTGTGCTGGTGTCTTTTGGCTTTTTACCTCTTAGCAGGTCCCTCATCCCATGTCAGATGGTTGGGCATGTTATGATTGATCAAGTAGTGCAGTAAGGACAAATAATACTAATTTGCATAAATAGTGCAAATAATGAATATAGTAGCAAAAATTAATGACACAAATCAAGGTTTTTTTTTAAAAGGCTCTCTGATTCTGCTGATCACAGATCTTGAGATTTCTGAAGAAAAGTCAGATATCGGAAGGCACTATGAATAATTTTGGAGATGGGAGAGAAGCTGTGAGTCACCAAAGATCTCTAGTGCAAACAAAACAGCGCTAGGAAATCTTTAGTCTGTAATTCATGAAAGAAGAAATTGAGAGAATACACCACTTCAGTCCTACATCTTATCAGTTATGAAGTTTGTAAAACAGGAAGGGGAAGCAAGCACTTGCTGAGTGACGTGTAACATCTGGCCTGAAATTAAACATTCCTCAGGGTTTCCTAAAATTGTCAGTAATCAGGATCTTTTAAACTCCACTAAAATATTTTGCTCTATACATCTATCAGGTTTCCTGTATGCTTTGTACCCTAAAACCCAGCTATCTTGTAGAGCTCTCTCTCTCATGTGGTATTTTTTTCACTAGCCCTACACTGTAGGTGCAGCGTGCAGGTGAGCCTGACAAGAGTGTGTTGTTTGTATCAGCCCCAGTGCATGCAGGCATGTTTTTTGCTGCCCTGTGCAGCCAAAGGAGGATGCTGTCTGTGTTCTCTCTGAATGTTTGAAGTTCACGGGAAAAACTTATACAAGTCTTTAACCACGAAAACAGAGGCAAAATACTGTTGTTTGTGTCTTGCAAGCAAGTTGAGACAAAAAGTTTAATGTATAATCCAAACCTAAGTTTCTGTTCTGATGGAGAGAGCTGCACATCTCTGGATTTTACGTCCTAAGCATTGCCCCTCCTTCTCACACCTGGTTTTGAGATTCTCTTTTATCTCTAATTGTATCCCTTTGACCTAGTCTTCCCACGCCCTGAATTGTTCCCTTTTCACCCCTCCTTCCTCTGCTCTTACAGTTCTCAGGGTGGAAAAACACTTACATAAAATAGTGTGAAATGTATTTCTCCCTGTGGAATGGCTGTAATCTTAATTTAATCCAATTATGTTGGCTAAACATATTAGCTGGATGCTTTTGTTAACACTTGACCTTTTGGAAATCTGTGTCCTTGGATTACAGAGCTGAACAGAGCAGAGGTGTTTCATGCTATTAGAAGCTGCCACCAGTGGTCTGCTGGGAGTGTGGTGCCTGTGTTGGTTAGAAGGATACAGTTCAGTTTTGCCCTGTTGCCAGTGAATTTTATGCCACTTCACACAAAATGCAGAGAAGAGTGGCTTGAGTGCTCTGCACGTGCTGTTACACCTTGGGCTTGTATGAGTTTCATGTGCTTTAACTTGCCTTTTAATAAGTTTGAGGTTTGCAACCAGAGTCCAACAGAAAGATGTTAGTTAGCTATCCATAAATAAATACATATAAATTAATTTATTTAGAGCCTTCTCTTGGTCGCAGACCCAAAGTAAAGTGCATAAGACAAATCCACAATCCAGAAATACCTGTCTACAACTCCATAGCAGAATGTATTGTTTTGTCTTGATTCACTGAGGAGCAAGACATTATCCAGCCCTGTGGGCTGAATCTTAAAAAACAAGCAAATAATGTGCTCTGAATTACTCTGCCTAACTGAATGAACAGCATTCTTCAGAAACAGTTATTTGTCTAAACTTGATTAGACTTAAAACTTATTTTTCTTCTTTTTCCTGTGTCTTCCAGGTAATGTGCTTTCTATTGTTAGGATAACAAGTATCCCCAGATTTAATTTCAGTAACCTGAGTGGCAGGGAAGGGTATAGAATTGTCTCCAAAGATAGTATATTGTGTTTCTGTCTAGGAACGGAATTCATAGGGGTGGTGGTTTTCATTGCAGTTTGTCTGTCTGTTGTGAAGTTTAAGGGTTTCATTCACTATTTTCATTATCCAAGATGAACACAACTTTCCTTTGTACTAAGTGCAACATTTAGCTGATTTTCAGGCATCGTCAAATACTACTTTTGCTCCACCTTACTTTTATCTAGGTAGCACAAGTGCTAGTTAATGTGAAATAAAGGTAGTGGCTGTGCTTTCAATGAGGACAAGTTTTTGAGAGGCAGAGGAGAAGACTGCCAATGCTGCTCTTGGTGTCGTGCCATGTATTTCACTGATGGGAAGTTCATAGTTCATTTATCCCCTCAAAGCCATCCTCTCAGATAATGAAGGGGAAAATACAACTTGCACTAGCACTACTTTTGCACAAACTCAGATGGATATAAGGAGATTTTCAAAGGAAACGTGGGTTCATACATATGTGTGGTGCATGAGAGGCTGTCTTTGTTTTTCTTAAATGAAATGTTCTCAAGTAAGGGCCAAAATCTTTCATACCTATTCAAGAAGGTCTAAACTAGACTGAAATGCGCCATGCAGTTGTCACTCAGCTCTTCAGATCTAAAACAATTGCTGAGTTTTCAAATAAAAGCCTCATCAGCCTAGCCTACTCAAAGGAGTGACATATTTAAGTCCACCTTAGGGTTCCAGGAAATATTTGGGTTCATAGCATATGGGCTATGGATCTGTACTGATACCTTGCTGTGAAAAACTCACCACTCTCTGCTTTTCCTATAGTCCCAATACTGTGTTTGATAAAGTGAAATATACTTCTTAACAATCCATCAATTGAAAAATCTTTTTTTTTTTTTAACAGGCAAAACGAAGGCTGGAGCTAGGAGAAAGTGGCCACCAGTATCTTGCAGAAGGACTAAAGACTCCAAAGGGGAAAGGAAGAGCTGCAACAAGAAGTCCAGATAGCCCAAAAAGTAAGGGAACTTGTAACATGCTGTCATCATTCTGCATACCTAGCTTAGGGTGTGTTTATTGCTGTCCTCACCTAGATGGGTATGCAACAAACTCAACCCCCCAGCCGGGCAATGGACAGCAGGTTTGCAGCATGCAGGCGTTGCTGCAGAGCTGTTAAGAGGCTGCAGAGGCTCCTGGCTGCCAGGTGTGTCTCTCTGCCTGCTGGGCAGCCTGCATTCTCTCTGCCCAGGGCCTCCCCTTCAGCCAAGGACATGATGCTGGGATGCTTAAGAGAGGTGGATGCTGAAGAATGAAGGTGGCATGATGGGATCAAATGCACAGTTGTTAGGCAAAGCTCATCAGGCCTGCCTCTTCCTTCACTGCTGGAGTTACAGCAGCTGGCTGCCAGGGCTTCTTTCCCTGGGCAAGGATTTGCAAGGAGTGCTAGCTGTGCCTCAGCAGCGCTGCACGATAAATGTTCTTTGTGGTATCCGAGCTGCCTTGTGTCCCTGCAGTGTGACTCTGGATCCTGCCACTGCCTAGCTGCTCTAAGTACTGATTTTTGCACATCTGCATTGCCTCAGGCAGTGGACTTCTTGCAGCAGAAGCTGGGGGCTATAGCCTTGCTGCCTTGTTTGAGGGGTTTTCAGCAGGAGAGTTAGGCTGGCAGAGGGAGCCACATGGGGCAAGGAGAGGATGGGGGCAGAAGTGGTAGTGATGTCAGAGCAAGAGATGCCAAAGGGTCCTTCCTCACCAGTCTGCTGGTTTCTATTGAGGCAGATAGGAAAAGTGAAATTAGTTGAAGATACAAACTTAAAGCATAGGAGTTAAACAGCCACAGCTGATTTAATTAAACTAAACTTCATTAAGCTAAATGAAGCCTATTTTAAATTGAAGTGGATTCTCATAGAAATACTGTTTGGTGAATAGGGTGCTGCTGCAGCATTGATAAGCCTGTACAAAGAATTTTGTGCATGATGAGGAGCACAAGCCATTTTAGGTAGGAATCCAGTCACTTCTTGCTGTTACCACTCTGATCCTCTTACTCTTTTCTAAACCGCAAACAAAACCCAGCTAAACCAACCACCCTTGCTCTAAATCCACAAGGTCATGTAAGTGATGTGAATGAAATTTAGATGAGATGTTGGGAAGAAATTCTTTCCTCACAGGGTGACAAGGCACTGGAACAGGTTGCCCAGAGAAGCTGTGGATGCCTCATCCCTGGAAGTGTTTCAAGGCCAGGTTGGATGGGGCTCTGAGCAATCTGGTCTAGTGGGAGGTGTCCCTATCCATGGCAGGAAGGGTGGAACTAGATGATCTCTAAGTTCCACTTCCAACCCAAGCCTTTCTATGAATATTCTTCCATCTCCCAAAGCAGACAAGCCCTGAATCTACCCAAAGAAATACAGCTAACTGATTCTCTTTGCAAAGGTGCAACATTTTGGTTTTCATTGAAAAGTCATTGTATTCTTCAAAATATTTCAGGGTAATCTAAAGGTTCACTCTTAGGTGGGATTGTCAGTTTTGACTGACCTCTGCAGTTTAATGTATGACCTGACCTTTGAAAACATGGAAAAGAACACCAAATCAGCCCAAGTTCCACCCTGCATAATACTGGAAGAAAATGAAGGGTTTGAGATGTACCAGCCCAGCAGACTTGTAATAATGGCTGGTTCATTTCCCTTGACAAAAAGGCCTTGAACATCTAGAATTAGAAATCATTCTGATCCAAGCATTTAAACTCTTAAAAGCCCATCTGTTAAGTATATACTTGCTGCATTTGTGCATAGAAACCATGAATTGGTCCAAGCCATTTGCTGACTTCTAATTTAGAAGATATGGATACTCTCTCCCAGTTTGAGCATTGCTTGGTTATGGAGCAATGATGATTATAAATCGTATTTTATGTCAATCTCTAATTCACTTGAGTTTTCTCAAGCTGTGGAGTTTGGCACTGATGGAATCTGTCATTGTGTTCACCCACTGAAGTACACCTAAGTCCTGCTTAATTGCATATGAAACACATATCTCACATGAGGGGGAAATCAAACCCTGATGAAAGCTGGCTATCAGTCTGATGAAGGAGAATCACAGGGGATTTTTTGGGGTTTACTGCCAGGATAAGTAGATACTAAAAATACTATTATGAATTCATACAGTAAAAGCCTAAGCAGAATATTGCTATATGTATCTGTCAGACTACTGGAAATATTTGCATTTTAAAAAACGTATATATTTGCTCTCATACCTGTGACTTTTGGAAAAGTACATCTCGAAATACAAATACATAGTGGTAAGTTGTGTCTTAATGCAGAGGTATGAGAGATTTCTTTAGTAAAAATGAAAGAAGTAACTGTAAAATATATAATTTCATTTTTGGTTGCTGCTTTCGGAACCAAAATGAGAAAAAAATGATTTAACTTTCTTTTTCATTTTCCTTCCAAGCTCCAAAATCTCCTTCAGAAAAGACTCGGTATGATACATCCCTTGGCCTTCTCACAAAGAAGTTCATTCAGTTGCTGAGCCAATCTCCTGATGGGGTCCTAGATTTGAACAGAGCAGCAGAGGTCCTCAAGGTGCAAAAAAGGAGGATTTACGATATCACCAATGTACTGGAAGGCATCCATCTCATTAAGAAAAAATCCAAAAACAACATTCAGTGGATGTAAGTATTCATTATCCTTTTCTATCCCTGCTGGCTGATTTTACTATCACAGGACAGCAGTGTTTTTCTTCTCCCACCTTTCGTTCTAACACTTTGCTCCAAGCAATCATCCAAAATGCCTTCCAACAGGATAAAGTTCTATTTTTTTCTTAAGAAAAGTTAATAAAAAGGATTTGTCAGGGAAATTAGAAACTAGCATTTTGTTTGAAAACTGGATTAATTAATTTACTTCTTCATGTGGAGTAAGTTTTAGGTATGTATCTCTACCTACTGCCTTCCTTGAGATTTTTTAAGCTGTGGTTATACAGCTACAGATACAAATACAGATACAAAATTTTGGAAGTAGTTAGAAATATTCAACTCTTACATCTTGGTGGCAGTTCCAAAATGTGTTGTTGTGATAAAAAGATGCTTTTTCTGGAAAGCGTAGTTTTATGTTGACTCGCTAGGGGCGGGTTTAGGGAGAAAGGACTAAGACCCTGATCTGCAGTGTAAAATCTTGTCTCTCCCCTTCACCATGGTGTTAGGGACAAATTTTGCAGAAGCTGACTGGGTGTCTCCCTTTCCCCTTGTCTGCAGGGGCTGCAGTCTGTCAGAGGATGGTGGGATGCTGGCGCAGCGCCAGGGCCTCACGAAGGAGGTGACCGAGCTGACTCAGGAAGAGAAGAAACTGGATGAGCTAATCCAAAGCTGCACCCTGGACCTCAAGCTGCTAACGGAGGACTCAGAGAATCAGAGATATCCTTTTTCCCTAAACCTCAAAGGTGCTCAGCCTCCTTGCTGTGCCCTGTAATACCAGGAGACTTCTTCTGTGTGATGTCATAGAAAGAAAGCATCAGAAGATTCTCGAAGTTGGAAAGGTTTTAATGTAGTTTGATATAAAAGCTACTTAAGCAGCTTGAACCTGTAATGCTTCTGGAATATGAAAAGAAAAAATAGAAAAGGTGATTCATGAAGGAGACTGTTAACATTTGTGTTCACATAGAGTAGAACCAAGAAACTTTGATTAATGACTGATGATATCCAATAGCCTTGTGTTTTTATCAAGCCTAGAGAAAACCAGTTTTATGTGTTCAGAAATTAAAAAGACATGAAGAGAAAGTCTGATAAAGTAACAGATTTGTTTAGTCATTACTTTTTTAAATTTATTTTACTTCAAACTGATATGTAATAAATTACAGGCACAGAGAGGAAAATAAAGTTGAGGTTTGGTTTAGTCTGAAACTTGCAACTGATTCTTCTGGTTAGAGAATCTATAATAAAATATAGATAAAACTATGAGCTCTCAAGATACCTTAGGCTGAATTATTTAATGCAATAGCAAAACTAAATTGCATAAGGTTCATATGACTTATTTTAGCTGTCAATGCCCTTTGTAATTAACCAGTAGTCATTTTCCTTAGATTTCCCACCTATTCCCAACACAAGAAAGAATTTTATTAAACACTGATGTGTAAACTTATTACAATGTGTAATAAGTACTGTTTAAATAGCATCAAATAAAGTGGATTTATTCTCTGTTCTGAAGGACAGGAAATAACTGTTGGAGTACCAGTAAAAAGTACTTGAACACGTGAACATTGTCTTTTGACTGGATTTCATAGACATTTTGATGTAACCAAAGATCACCAAATGGCATGGAGTGTAGGATCAGCATTGCCTTCAGCTAAGAGCATAATTCATGAAGAGACATAAGCAAGACAAAACTGACCATGGCAATTCTCAATTTCTGTAGCACTGAATCCTGTAAGGGTGAACTCTGCCTTTGCAAAAACAGGTGGTAAAAGCCTTGACAAAAGCCATTTGGGTGAAAGATGATGACTTGTCTCTTTGCCTCTTGGATCTATTTGATCCAGGATAGATGCAAGATGTATTGGAGCTTGGGCAGTCTGTCCTGCTGTACTGCCCAGTAACAGCACACATGCACACCACCAAAAAGTATAAGTCAGATATATAAGTTTTTTTATTTCTCTGGCGTAAATGTTATGCCAGGTACCTCACAGATGACAAAACTAAAGAGCTGGAACTATATGCATGTGATCATGGTTATTTCACAGTTCTTTGTCAAAGCCAAAAGCACTTTGACACTTCAGTTACATGGATCAGTACATGAGGCTTCAACATGTAGTAACTCCCAAAACACTGGCATTTTGACAAATACATGCTGAACAGCAAAATATTCATATTTATTCTGTGCTTATGCAAGAATTGACATTCTGCACTCTAGAGGTTTAAAGTAGCTGCTTAAACATGCTTTAAAATATTTTTATATAATATAAATTAATATACACATATATGAATGTTGTACAAATGTTTGTATATTTATATATATTTTACATATGTTCTCTGTATTATAAATTTATGTTTGCAAAGCCCCTCAAATTTAAAATGAAATTAGGATTTTTGTCAGCCTCAAGAAGAAGGTGAATTTAGATGAAATATTAGACAGAAATTCTCTACTGTGTGTGTGGTGGGGCAATGGGGAAAGTTGTCCAGAAAAGCTGTGGATGCCCCATCCCTGGAATTACTCCAGGCCAGGCTGGATGGGAGTCTGGGCAACCTGGTCTAGTGAAAGGTGTCCCTGCCCATGTCAGAAGGGTTGGAACTAAATGATCTTTTAAGGTCCTTTCCAGCCCAAACCATTCTAAGATTCAGTGATCCTGTGTATGCAGCTCTATAGCGTGCATGCATAAACTCCTATACACTTTTTCAGTGATTTTCAGCTCTCTGCATTTTGATAGCAAGTGCATAAAAGTTTTTGCTTCATGGAGTCTGTGAGTAATTTCAGGTTCTTGAATCTTAGCTTATGTAGTTTCCTGCCTATAGAGGAGGAGAGAAGCACTCAGCACAGAGAATCCCTTTTGTTCACTGAGTAGTGGCCCCAGCTGTTACATCAAGGGGAAGTTCTCACAGGGCTTCATGGTATTCACAGTGTAGAGAGCAGAAAACCTTGGGCTAAGAGCTATGTTGCATGAGAAAATGGAAAAATAATTCAAAGACTTCTGCCTCTTCTAATAGTCTGAGTGTATTGTAACATGGGACGGAAAATTCCTTAACAGTGATTACATTAGCTTATGTGACGTATCAAGATATTCGAAAAATTAGTGGCCTTAAAGACCAAACTGTTATAGTTGTGAAAGCTCCTCCAGAAACAAGACTTGAAGTGCCTGACCCAGTGGAGGTAAGGAAAACCTGGCATTTTCTGCCAGGTTATATATAGTTTTTCTACAGATGCAGCGTCTCTTGAGTCTTACTGTGATACGTGCCCAGGTACACAGTCCTGTATTATTACAAATGTTAGGGATGGTTCTGTAGAAAAGGAAGGGGAAACTTCAAAAATCAATTTACAGAGAACAATTGTTATTTGTTCCTTTTCACTCACTTCCAAATTTCTTCAGAGTAATCCACACCATTTACAGATATTTTCTTTTGCCATGTTTTATGTAAAGAAAAACTTTATTGACAATTGGAATTTCCTTGGTTTCTAACAATGTAAAATCTTTCACAAGAAATTCAGCTTTCTTATTTTAGTTAAAAAGTTAATGGATATCTCAACGCCTTAAGCATCTTGATGACTAAAAAAATTGATATCCTAATTTATTGAAACATGTTTTCATGGGGGACTTTCTTTTCTGAGGCATTACAGGTATTTTAGAAGTTTGTGTTTTAATCCTGGAACACATTCTTGCCCTTTATTCTTTCATCATCATCTTTGCTTAATTGGCACTTACTTTTATTCTCACTTGTGAAGACAGTCCAAAGTATATTGGGAAAATGGGAATTATTGACAGGAACTGCTGGTTTAGAGATTCTAAAAATGTACCTAATTTCTTCATTCAAGGAGCAGCTAGAGATGGGGCTAACCCCACAAACACTGCTAGTGTTATGTTCATACCTGTGCATTAATCCTTCATCCCAACACTGAGCCAGTGAGCTCAGCCATACCTGCTGGCCGGTGGGGGCAGGAACAGACTCTGGATTCTTTGTCACTTTTTTTTTCCTAAGATTATTTTTAACTTGCTTAGACTGATTATGGTTTCCATCCTTCCTTTTTTCTTTTCTTTGCCTTTGTCCTTACTTTCCCCTTTGAACCTTGTTGCAGGTTTTGGCAGGACGAATAAATCATTTTTCTGATGAAAATGAGAAAAGGGTATCTTTTGCCAGTATTCATAAATATATACTGTTATTGTTGTTTGCTTTCCTGTTTCTTTCCCCTGGGTATTATGCTTTGATTTTTAATTCAGTGAAATCAGGCAGGCAGAGAGAGATGCACACAATCATTAAAATTAGTGCTTAGACCTCCCTTATCCCCTAAACCCACCTTACTTAATTTTCAGCTTCAGGCAGTAAGGTCCTATTTCTTTCTGTCACATGCAATTACATTTCAGTGTTCTTTTTTTTGCATACCTCAGTCACTCAATAGTACCTTCCTTCTTCAACTCCTGCTCTTCCCATCTCCTTTTTTTCTAATTATCTGTAACATTGCCCTAAGTACTCTTAACTGCTTTCTCTTCCCTGGCAAGCCCCCATTCAGTTGCTGTTCTCTGTATTTGTAAATGCTGTCTATAATGTTACATAACTGTCAGAACCCAAATAATAAGAGGAACATTTTGTCAAAGGGCACAAAAGGAAGTATTTTAAACAAGTCTGCAAAGAGGTACCTGATGCCTGTATTTTTGCTTTTTAGGGAGCTATTGATGCAATACAGCAGCAGCAGGTTTATTTATAACCAGAGTAATTTATGGTTTACCATCATAATGCAAAGAGTAGCTTTGCAGGTTTTCTGTGCCTGGGTCATGTTGGTTTATTGCATCAGTTTGTGAAAGTTAAGAAAAATGTAATTTCTTGCAACAAAATTGCAGTTCCTATTCAGAACCAGCATCAAAATCACTGCCTTGAGGGGGCAGAAGGACTTACATAAGTAGTTTGGGTGAAGAAAATGGCATCTGGTTTGTTTTTTTTTGGTTGTTGTTAGTTGGAAATGTTGTCTGATAAATAGGTGAACTTACATATAGATATTTGAGTTCAGTTGAGTAGGTGGTGAAGGCTTTTGGGAGAGTGGGAAAGATGTTTTGGCATCTTTTTAAAGCAGAAACATTGACACAAATGTATCCAGTATTATTGTTATGAATGATAATAAAACCTGTGACTTGCATCCCACAGTTCCATCCCATCAGAATGCTCCAGGCTATTGTGGTTGTAAGAAGATGTTCAGAGTTTAATCCTTTATGCCTCCCTTCTTATGAAATTAGTGGGATTTTGATATTTGTGTGCTACAGTGGGAAAAGTTTTTATGTTCTAGTCTGCAAAATATGTCAGCCAAGCCTTTCACATCATGAAAGAAAAAAGGCTTGGTGTTCTTTTCAGGTTCTTTTGGTTAGTAAAACTGTACTCAAACAGTCACAACCTAGTAAGACTTTACTCAGTATCATCAATATTCTGTTGTTTTCATTGGTGTAACCCCATTCTGATGTTTGTTTTGTTAGCAGAGTGCATTGATACATTTATCTAGTACTCAAGGACCTATTGAAGTTTATCTGTGCCCAGAGGAAAACGATGCTCTCAGTCCAATGAAAACCTATAGTCAGGACCACAATGGAAATATTTCCAAAACCATTTCCAAAGGTAAAATTATTTCTTTGCAATACTAATAGCCTTTCTTCAGCGTCACCTTCAGAGTTGCAGTTTGAACTTTGGATTTCCAGCTCTTTTTCTTTGGCTTTGTTTTTCTAAGAAGTGGAAAGTTAAGGTATCAATTTTTCACTACATATTTCTGGTTTATATAGTCAGAAGTAAGTTTTCCTTTGCATTATTTGTTTAAAGTAAGTTCCCTATTTTCATATCATATGTAACTAAAGTGTGTGTAATACTGAAGAAAGAAATAGTTGTGTTCATTTCAAGTTTTCAAATAAGACAGTAGCAGTAAAGATCCGTCTCAACACAAGAGGCAGAAATCTCAGTGTATGGGTACATGTGAAGCTACATTGCTTCACTGATGACATCTGGTACCTAGAAAATTCTCAGTTTTGACAGTGAACTCCACTGAAAAATGGGCATCTCACTATATTTGATTTATTTCCCCCTGTAGTTTAAATCTTGTAAGATAAATTTTTAATAGAAAAGTCAGAGATGATGGCAACATGATCATTTTTGAGAAGCCCTTTGTGACACATCAAAAACAAGCTAGGAATTATATGGAGGCCATTTTTTTATTGTTGAACTGATGCTTTATGAAAGACCCTTTATGCAGTGGTTACTTCATTTGTGTGTTATTTTGATGTGTGTCTGATATCTCTACTGAGATTAAATGTGGCATCTTTTATTTTTTTCTCTCCCTCCTGTCACAGAAGTGGCTTCTGCTAACTCAGGACAAGGTGACTGCTCAGTAAATATGGCAACAATCTCTCCACTGGCTTCTCCAGCCAACCTTCTACAGCAGACCGAGGACCAAATTCCCTCAAACTTTGAAGGACCATTTGTGAACTTGCTGCCTCCTCTTCTTCAGGAAGATTATTTGCTGAGCCTTGGGGATGAGGAAGGCATCAGTGACCTCTTTGATGCTTATGATTTAGAGAAACTTCCTTCCCTGATGGATGAATTTATATACAGCTGATTGTCTTAAGTGCTGTGCATATCTAAACTATGTTTTTAATGGAATCAAAAAACCTGCCGTCTTTCAGACTTGTCCTCTACTTACCATAAAATAGCATTATTAAATAAACTAGGCTCCTGAGCAGTGCTGATATTTTAATTGAATACTCCCCATAATACCATAAGAAACAACAGAAGGCTTTTACAGCAGAGCCTTCTCCTTGACCCCGAGCTCCAGTGCCTTGCGAGTCAGCAGGTGCAAGCAGGTGACCGTAGATGTTTTGTCTTCACACTCCCCCAGTCTCTGCTTACCGTGACAAGTGGGCTTACGGAGAAGGGCTTCATGAACTGGTTTAGTCCTAAGTAACAATTTTGTAATAGTATTTCAGGTCGTGCCTTCTGCAGAGAATGCATGTCTTTTGAGTGTCACAACATGGATTGTACATGCAGTGAACGTAAATATGAAGTGAATGCAAAAGAGTGGAATGGGATTCTTCAGCTACTTGTGGGAATGTTTAAATTGCTGTCATAATGCTCATTTTGAGCTGTGTATATGTCTCATTATGAGGTCAAATACTTATGTCCTTAAAAGCTTTTAATGAAAATACAATACACTGTAAATGTAGTGTATATTGCAGATATTGAAAAGTATAAAGTTCTGCCACTTCTCGTAGTAATTGCAGATTTTTAAAAATGCTTGTGTGTGTGTGTGTGTGTGTGAAAGTAGTTTTTGTTGGTTGTTTTTTTTAAACTAGAACGAAGATGCACAGTTCAATTTTACTGCCCCCAGTGTGCATTAGAACTGGTACAAGAATTTTCGTGGTACTAAGTGGGGCTTCATGTTAAGTGCCTACTAGAGATGCACTGTGGGTTTTTCCCTCTATGGAAAACACTTATGCCAAGCTTTGTTTGTTCAATATATGATATTTATCTCAGTGGGTTAGCTTCATCTGCTTACAGCTTTTTATAATTCTCTTCGCCAGCAAAATGGAACTAATTTTTTTCCAAAGTACATAACTGTAAGTACCACATCAACTGAATTGCATTTATTTTTTGAAGATCTTTGCTAGTATAGTATAGTACCAATATTTATTTTTTGAACGTCAGAGGAATTCTAAGAAGTCTTAAATAATTTTTTTTTTCTTGAGTGTAAAATATTTTGCCATGTTCTGGGCTAAATTAATGTAATGTTGATTAGATGATGCCCATATAATCTTTTTGTTTGCATTACTGTTGTGCTTATCTGACATACTCAGAATATTAGTACTATTTGTACTGTAGGAGAATATGTATGCAGGTTTTCTGGTACCATTGAGTTGCTGCTATGAAAGCTCACACACGAAAAGGCAAGAAGTCACAGTACTAATATGGAAACTGTATGACTGTGTGGGTTTTGGAATATAACAAATGTATAAAGGGCAACACATAAAGAACTGTTAAACAGTGTTAAGTGTGTGTTTATATGTACAAATGTTTGCATAGATCATTCAGCAGTTGTATTTAATTTGATATATGTTCTCAACTCACACTTTAGTTATCTAGCAGTTTTGTACAATAGAATTAATTTGTAAACACTGCCAGAATATTTTCTATCTGGTTTGTAATTTTTTAAGAGTTTTTTTAGATGTGGATCTGTAAATAAAATTGTAGTATTTAAAGTTTTCGTCTTGTGGAAGAGGAAAGTAAAAGTTGTGTGAGCATGAAGATTTGCGAGACAAAGGGGCACTTTTGCGAGGGAAGAGAAAATGAAGACTAACACAGACCATCTTTTTTATGTACAAATTAAACACTTGTCCCAATGTGTGTGGGCAAAATACTAATCTAATTTAGCTTTGCATTGTATGCTAGTTTAAAAAAAAAAACAAAACAAACCTCTGTAAAATACTGTAAAAAAAAAGGAAAAAAAACAACAAAAAATGCTTTTATGGTGAGTTTTGTAAATAGATTTATTAAAGGGTGACATGTTCTCTAGCTGTGATCTTACAACTTCAAATGGATGTAATTTGAATAAATTTTGTATGGTAATGAATCAATAAAAATGAAATTTTTTAAAGACTTTAGATTTGTATACAGCTATTTAAACTTTTCTTACTCTTGGTGCCTGCCATACTGTTTCTTGAAACCTGTTACTGTTTTTGTTATTAGTGGAAACACTCACTTGACACCAGATAGTTTCAATCCCGTTTTTTTACGATGTCAACAATAAGTTCAGTGGGTTTTTTTAAGCCAGAGTGAAACAAGAATAAAAGACATGTTAAGAGACACAGCAGGTGATCCAGAGGTTGGGATAATACAAGTTTATTTTTATTTATTCCTTCTCCTCTCATATGAATTAGGAGCAGACTTCTTGCAAACTTAATAGACATGGTGCTATTTTAGGATTAAATCACATGAAAGCAGTTGTTGAGGATCTGCTTAACCTTCCTACTGATAATTCTCCAGAAGTTTCCTAATAGTAGCTTTGAAAAGAAGTTGTGTTTTCTTGAGTCTCTTCCAACAGTCCCTTGTGCCAGACCTATATTTACGAACTCCTACTTCTTTTCTGGTATTGGTGCTGCACCTTTTTAGATACACAGCCATCTATCAACTGGAAAAAAAAAAAATCAGGATAATAAAATAACAGTAATATGGTTGATTGCTTAAATGTTTTACCTCTGAGCAAGTCATTTGTCTTGTCAACTTCCTGCACACTAGGAGAAGGCTATTACTTTGTGCACCTGTACATATTCAAACATCTGCACACAGCAGTACTGAAAGGAATATTACAAAGGTCTTCTCTATATTCTTAATAAATTGTAAAGAATGTAGGCTAGATGGCTGTGTTTTCTGATTTCCCTTCAAAGCAGAGGTGGCAGTAAATATCTGCTGTACCTCCCTGGCCTGTTCTCAGTTTTTCTGTTCTGCAGTTGCCATAAGCACTTCTTTATTTGCCCCTACAATCTGCTACTGATTACTAGTTTTCATGTCATTTTCCCCTCTCCTGCTTTCTGTAGCTGCTTTGCAAACTTGGAATGTGCTGAGGTGCAGGATAAAAAAAAAAAAAACCAGCCAGTTAAAATACTAATTCCTGCTCCTCTAGGCTAGCATGGTGTACCTCAACATTATTCAGCATACAAGCATTAATTCCAGGGAGGTTTTATTGGGGCCTGTATGAGCTGCATTCCTTGGCTGCCAGCAGATGGAAAAGGTTTTGGAAAAATCTGTCAGCATGGCCTGAATGATAGGCAACTATTTATTCCTTTGCAGACAGGAAAGGAGTTTGGAAAAAAAGGGAGGTTCATGTTCTTGAACCTACAGTAAGAACTCATTCACCTACAAATGACAAGAAACAGTTATTATATTCCTTTTGACTTATGCCTGAAAGAATAAATTGCACCTCGGTCTTGATGCAGACACGAACATTTTTGTTGTAGAAAGAATGAAAGTTATGTGAGGTACTTTCAGTAGCATGAAACAGCTATATGTTTAAAAGCACCAAATTTAGTATATGTCTTTTTTTTTCCCCCTGTGCGAAACACAGAGCACAGTGCCGCTAGTGTTCCTGCAGCCAACAATTCTCAACACTAAGTGAACCATGAGCCTGTATAGCAAAGTCAGTGGAGTGATATTAACCAAAGCATAAACAAGTAGAATTCATCTCCCCATTCTGCTTTTCTTGCTGAAGTAAGATCTGCCTGGATATTACTCTACAGCTAAGCAATAATCAGAAGAATGATTGCCCTTTATTAAGTCTGGGAGTTTCTTTGCCCACTATTTTCTCTATAAGGCTTGACAGGAAGAAAGTGTCATATATAACAGGAAAAAATGGGTTGTTACCAATTCTGAGTGGTGCTGAATGTTGCTCACAAATGACCAGCCAGATTCTCATAAATTTCAAGAACAGAGGAAAAAAAATAATCTAATTTCTTGTACCTCTTTTAGGACTCCTCATTTTTTTCTGAATACCTTCCTACCCATTTCCACCCAGAACCCAGATGTTAGTTATCAGAGAATAAGGCTACCAATATAAAATTGAGCCCTGGTCTCCCTGGCTGTTTTCCTTCCCTAAGGATATTTGTTGAGGTGCTCTAAACCCACTAAGGATGTATCTTCTACTAACCAGGACCTGAAATTGAGATTTGGATTTTATTTTTCCAGTAGTGTATTTTTCCAGCTATGCAAAACCTATGACCACTTGGTAACACAGCCCAGGGCTGATGATGTCTGTGAATCTACTAGCCCTCAAGAGTAGGAACTAAGATCTGCAGGCAATTTGGAAAGGATGTATTCTAAAGTTCTTCTTCGGACACTCAAGGAATTGGAGCATGTATGCTGCCAGCTCAGAGAAGGCCAGCACTGGAAATTGTACTCCCAGCCACTGTCACATAAAAAGCAGCTTTCCCAGGTAGGTATGAATAAATTTTCCTCCTGGGATCAGGAGGTGGTAGGGAATTATCTGCTCCCTTCTTTCCCTGCTGTGCTACCTGCTCTCTGCACACAGCTGCATGTATTACTATGAATATGCTACAAAGCAATTTGGGTTTATGAGCTTCCAAAGCACTGGGAGAGTGCCTTCCAATTTGTGGCTACGTCCTAGGGACTCAACAGGACTGTGCTGGCACAAGGGCTGCTTGATACTATGAATTCTTGGCAGCTGGACAAAGTAAAGGCTCTGCCGGATCATGCTGGAACTGATCAGTGTGGCCTATTTATGTCACTAGGTATGGGACTCATGGGTTATTCCTGCCTGGGTGCTGCTCTTGGAGATCACTGCCTCCCCTTAATGAGTACTGCTTGTCAGTGTTGGCAATTTGGAGATTTTTTTGGTTATGTCTTGCAGGCTGTGCTTTGCTCTTTTAGTAAGCTGTAAGCCAGCACTGGTGTGTGCCCAGTTGGGTTAACCAGAGCAGAAACACTTGGCTGGTGGGGACAGCTGTGAGGAAGGGCAGTGCAGTGCTCCCAGAACAGAGAAGATGAATTCAAGGACTGCATGTGGAATACTTTGAACATGGGAAACTGAAAAGAAAGAAGGAAATGAATCGCTAACCTTATCAGGCAGCAGTTAAAATGCTGTTTGGGGATATAGATACCATTACTGCTGACTGAGTAAAGACTTCTTACTCCATAGGAGGAGCTCTGAAATAGATCAGTGTGGCCACCCATTTTGAAATATTTTCCTCCATTCTCTCCTGGGCTAAAGATGCCACAGAGGTAACAAATTACACATCACACAGTGTCTCACTGACAGCATCTCTGGAAAGTACTTGTGTGCTTAAACAAAGACCAAACTGGAAGGCAAATATATCTTCAACTATAAAAATGACTCCATCATGAGACCAGGGTGATATTTATAGTGCTCAGTCCTGCTCAGAATGATTTGTTCTTGAAGACTGATTTAAGTGAGGTGCTTATTTCTTTCTGCCCCAGTTCTCTTCTTTAAATTTCTCCTGTTCCTTTGTCCACATTTCCTTTTTTTTCCTTCCTGTGAGCATTGTCAGATATGCATTATATAAAATAAGCACGAGTTTGTAGGAAAAAGGAGAGAAAATATTCGTAATTAGAAGTTGCCACATTTTATCTGTGAGTGGACCAACAGACCTATTGTTTTCATTCATTGACCCAGGGCTTTCATTCACTTTCCCTCCAGCTCCAGGGAGACCATAATCTGCTATTTTTAAGAATAAACTGGTTCCAAAGGCTCCTTCTAAAGAGAGAAGCCTAATGTTTGAAATGCAACTACAGGAAATAATGACTTTTACATTCCAAAGCTGACTACCTCAAAACGGAATATATTAAAGATACAATATAAATAATCTTTTTAGGTTGTGTATATTAAACCCAAAGCAATAATAATATGCTCACTCTCTACAACACTTTGATCACCAAGGACACTGCACGCTTAATCTGCTCAGAGTTTTAGCTTCAGCCATCCAATAACCACGGTGGTGTTTTACTAAATATCAAGCAGAAAAATTTGGAGTAACACGGTGCCAGAAACTTCAGCCATCTGATCCTAAACATTTTGACCAATATCTTTTATACTATTCAGCAAAGTTTTTACTAGCATTGTATTTTGAGGAAATTAACGATGAAAAATAATAATAAAGAAAGCGCGTTGTGGCCAGAAGAGGATTTAATAGCTTATCACCCATTTGGATCAGATACATCAGCATCGCAACCGCTTTAATAGGACAGGTATTGCTGGGATTGCTATATTCCAATTAAAACGGAGGCGAGTCTCCAAAGCTCCAGGAGGCCTCACTCTCAGTGGCGAAACGACGGCGCCGCGCTCTCCGCGCTGTTGTGGCCTCCGCCGGCCGCCGTCCTNCCCCGGCCCCCTTCCCTTCCCTCCGCTCCCCTCCTCTCCTTTCCCGTCCTGTCCTTCCCTCCCCTGCCTGGCTGTGACGGTCTGGCCGAGTTCCGCTTCTCCTGCCCGCGCGATGTTCCCGTTCCCTGTGGCGCCTTCCTAGGGCTACGCATCAAGCATCGGGAGGAGGAGACGAACGTCCTGGCGGGAATCTCCGCAGGGGTTGGCGGCCGGGATGCAGCTCGGGAATGGGGTACCCTCAGCGGGCTGCAAGCCGAGTAGGGGGGGCCGAGCTCAGCCGGGCTCCGAGATGTGCGTGGTCCAGGCTGCGGCCCGGCCGCCCCTCGCCCGTGGGCCGTACCTGTGTTTATATATATTATATATATATATATATATATATTTATATATATATGTATGTGTTGTTTACTTACTTTGGTGTTCAAGGAGAGACTGCGGGAGCTGGGTCTGTTCAGTCTAGAGAACAGAATATTGGGAGGGGGGGTCTCATTAATGCGTATAAATATCTCAGAGGTGGATGCCAGGCTCTTCAGGTGCCCAGTGGCAGGACGAGGAGCAGTGGTCATAAACTAAAACGCAGGAAGCTTTAACAGGAAGAAGAACTTTACATTGAGGGTGGCAGAGCACTGAGGCTGCCCAGGGAGGTTGAGGCGTCTCCCTCTCTGGAGACATTCCAAACCCACGTGGACGCATTCCCTTTTAACCTTCTCCAGGTGGCCCTGCCTTGGCAGGGCTGGATGACTTCTGGAGGTCCCTTCCCAACGCCAGCAGTTCTATCATTCTGTGATATGTGTATACATACACACACACACACAAATACGTATACTTTAAACTCAGTCTCACTGTGTATTAACGCTGCAGTTTTCTTTTGCTCTGTGTGAGGCCAGGGATAAAATCCCGGGGCTTCACAGGAGACACCTGTTGTTGGTAAATAGCTGAAAAGAGAGGTCCTCTTCCACCTGGATGGAAGTCCTCCATTGGTATGTGCAAGGCGATTGAGGAGGGTTGACCAAACCAGACTGACACAAGGGAAGTTGTATTTGTGACAAGTTGTTAAAACAACTCTAGTTTTTTATTTGCTTGCTAACATTTTTTTTAATAAATGCAAAGTTCTGTAGGTGCAGCTTGGCTGTATGAGAAGCATACATTAACTTCTAATTTTGCTATTGCTTCTTATTTCAGTCAATCTACGAGAATAACTGCAGGAATCTGTCTTTATTTTTTTTTCCTTGTGAAGGAGATCTCATGCATGCATATGGAACAAGTGCAGATATCAAGTAATCTGTTTTAAAATAACTTCACAGTGTTTTAATTAAAAAAAAAAATTGTGAATGACTTGAACTAAAATTTACTGTTAATCTTTCTCCCTTCTTTCATTCAAAATTTTAAACTGGTTGAAGACATATTTTGGAGGAAGTCTGAGATAAATACATCTGACTTTGAAAAAAAAAGAGACTATGGAAGAAGGATAAAAAGAACAGTGTCCCTGCTCAGGAGACAGGGAAAACATGGGAACTCTTCCACCTTGCCAACCAGCCAGCGTGTGTCCACATGATGTCAAACTGAGCGAGGAATGTATTTCTGCAAAGGGAGGATGAGTGCTTGTTGGACAATAACATGAATTCATGGTTTTCTGTCCGCTAGTTCTGCTTGTTCATGCCCTGTCTTTTTTCCTTTTCCTCCTCCTTACACCCCCCACCCCCCAGGTTTACTGTCCAAGAGGATTTAGACCTTGCTTAAAAAGGTAGGATTTTTATTTTGGCTGTATTCTTTCTTCCATGGGTCAGTGAAATAAGCTAAGCTTATTTGTTTTTCCAGCTGCTCCATTACATTGGATATTTTTCTGTAAGAGAGAAAAAACAACAAATCAAAATTTTTTATTCCCTTCCAGATACTGATTTGATAACTACCTATTTGTACATATTCTCAGTGATGCAAATTAGTGTAAGAGATGTCGCCTTTCCCTCATATTCTTTATTGCTAGACTTTCTACAAATGTTTATTTTTGTTCACCTTTTGCAGCATAATTGTATAGATCCTGTTTTTTTTTAATTTAGAAGAATGCTAATTGCCTAAGTATCTAGGGCAGATGCATCCTCTTTGTGACATCATTCTGTTCCTTTTTAAGTTAAATGCAGATGTGTGATGGTTCAGTTTACATGAATTTTTTTTTTTTTAAGTATATTTTGCAAGATTGACTGAAGGACACATGCTGGGAAAATGCATGGGTGTTTAACTTCTTATGTTCTTCAGTACTTCATTTGCAACATCTGGAAGTGTTTTTATGCCTGTAGCAAATCTTCGGTTCCTGAAGTCTAATTTTAAAGAAATTAAAGCCTTGTTTTCTTCATTGTCAGGACAGTGTTGTACTTTCCCTGTAAACTTTGGAATACCCTTGTATGATTTCCTTAGTAAACTGTTGGTTTATGTAAAACACCTGAGTTTCCAATGGTACTTCAGACTTTATTCTAAGTAGGAGTTACAGCACAGTGTGGTGTGTAATTAACATACTAACTCTTTTTATAGACTCTTCCAGCAAAAGGCTTTTTTTGAATCTTGAATACTAATCTGGATTTTCACATCTGCTGGGAGATACATATGCATAAATATATTTAGTTTCTTGTGGAAAATAAAACTAGATATTAGCAATCTTTTAATGTATTATTCTAGCCAGATTATAGTGTATTTATTTTTTTTAGTTAGACACAGTTGTTTAACATTTTGTACCTGAAAAAAGAAATTTTTATTTTACTGTCCCAGTGAATGAACTAATTCAAATGAAAGGCCTGTGGGATCAGGAATTCTAGGAATAGTTTAATTTGTTTTCAGAATGACTGTGAAAACATATTTGGGTAGTGTCCACTCACAAATAAGAGAGCCAGAATGGCCTCTGAAGCAGTCACTTGGGTTCTGTGCCTTTCATTCTTCTTCTGTGATGTGAGTGGAAACACATCCATCATATAACATGAGTTCACAATTTATTATGATACTGACATGATTAAAATTACCTGTATCTCGGATGTGTCGTGTCAGAGGAGATGAAGGGGTTTTGTATTGGGAGATGACAAGGTACAGATGATTTATAAATGAGCCCTTAAGAATCTGTATAGTTTGTGACTTTCTCCTTGCTTGTGTTTGAGGTATCAGGGGAAGAGGGCATTCAGGAAATGTCTCTGATAGTGGATATGTCATGTGTGTGATACACTGCACATATGCTTAGAGATATATCTGACTCTGCTATGAGAAATGTGCAGTAGATACGTGGCCTTGGTTTTGTATTCAAATGCTTTCCTAATGCCAGTCTTCTCCAACACTTCTTGAAGATGCCTGCTGCCTGTGAGTCAGTGCTTGAGGATATCGAAGACATCGTGTCAGCAGAAGATTTGAAGCCACACGATCGGCAGTTTGTGAGAAGGAATGTTTTTCCCAAAGTGCGAAAACGCAACTCCCAAAAAATCGTTCAGACAGATGATGAGCCTCCAAGTGACAGGTAAAGTCTTACATCGACCCTGTGTCAGTGCTTTTCTTGAATCTCATATGTGCTTGTAAGCATTTAAAAATAAGGTGGAAGATTGTGTTATATCTTAATGTGAAATCTGTGTACAAGGTAAAAATGAGTTAAATAGTCCTTACAGAATGTAGAGAGAATAAATAATAAATCCTAAGAAAATCTCTTTTCCTGGACAGATTTTCTGTAGAAAGCAGTTATTACTGAGATGTTGATGAATGGAATAATCAGACTGGGAAAATGGTTTCTGTTACGTTTTTATGTAAAAGATTTCTGAAAAATTGTCTGTGTAATTACCTAAATACAATTAATTAAAATACTTAATTACCTAAATATAATCTGAGCTCTTCAAAATGCAGTTCTGGAGCAGCCTTTTGACATCTGAAATGAGAAATAGGAACAAAATCCTGAGCGTTTCAAAAGAGTTGGAGTTGGAAGGTCATTTTTTCCAAACCCACTGCATGAGCACTGCCACAAAGAATCAGTTGGCAGGATTCCGACTAGGTAGTTCTTTAGCATCTCCAGGAGATGGATATTCTACAGTCTCCCTTAATAACCTGTGCCAGTTCTTGATCATTCTTAGAGTGAAAAAGGTGTTCTCTGATGTTCAGAGGGAGCCTCCCATGTTTCAGTTTGTGCCTGTTGCCTCTGGTCCAGTCACTGGGCACCACTGAAAAAAATCATGCTCTGCCTTCTTTGCACTCTCTCTTCAGGTATTTATATACTTTGATGAGATCACCTTGAGCCTTCTCTTCTTCAGGCAAAAGAGTCCTGGCACTCTGAGCCATATCTGAGGCATGTTCCAGTCCCTTTATTATCTTTGTGGCCCTTTGTTGGACTGTCTCCAGTACGTCCCTGTCTCTCCTGTGCATCCTGTCAGGGCCCAGGGATTTGTGTATGCACAGTGTGCTGAACTGTTTATTCCTTGACCCAGTCTCCTTTCATGAAAGGTACATCCTTGCTTCAGTCTTTCAACCCGTTTTCTGCACCTTGGGATTTGCAAAGGCTGTACTTCTTGTGTGTACATCCTGCAAGTGACATGGTGAAACTTCTTTTGAGCTTGCTCTTTTATTTCAGTGGAAATAGTATGCAGTAAGCACGAAATGCATCTTTGCATTTTTCCTACTTGTGATTTCCATAAGGACTGAATCAACTTTCTGCTGCAGTGGAATTGATTAGAGTATAGGTCAACTCAGTTATTGATTATAGTTTCTACTGCAGGTCTGAGGTCTGGTTTTTTTTTTTATTAATTTTAAGTTGGTGGATAAAATTTCCCTAGGTGATAAAGATGAAACTAAATTGTGTGTGGAAATTTAATTTCCTGTGCAGAAATAAAATCCTGGGTTTCCACTCAAAAGAGATTTTATAAGCATAACAATGCATCTTTATCCACATGCCCCTAAAAGTGCATTGGCCCCAGTCTGCCAGTAATGTATGGACAGCTGAACTGGTGCTCTGTAGATACTTCTCACAACTACTTCACCCCCCAAAGCATTCAGGTGCTATATATTCTCTAGCAGGCTGTGTTGTAGTGTTTTCTACCCAAGAAGGCACATTGAACATGTGTTGTTTAGACAGCAGGAAGTCTAAATACCCTGTGTTTACAGTTAATGATCATTAAAGTTCCATCAACAAATTTCTATTTTTAGCTAGGGGAAGTGTCTGTTAAAAAAGAAGCGTGGAGGGGGGAGGGGGGAAAAAAAAAAGCTGTAGGCAGGGTGCAGTATTGTGTTCCAGGATGTGTAGTGTTCTTGTACTGGCATCTTTAGCTCATTGGCAGTTATCCCAGGAATTTCAGTGAGAGCTTCTTACAGAACTTTTTGTTGGTTTTTGGAGCCTTTTATGTGCTAGCTCCACAGTGCATGTCTGCCATGCTGCTTCTGTAGCCCAAAAAGGTTGGGATGGGGGCTTTCCACTGTTTGTGCGGCTGGTGGCCATCATGTTAATTTGCAGAGCTGGCTTGTGTGGAGGGAACTACAGTCAGTGCATGCCATAATACCAAAAGGTTGCAGTTTGTTCACTGGTGGCCTAATTTCAGTGCTGTTACTCGAAGGTTATTTGTTACATGATACAATAATTTTGAGAAAGTTGGGGAATTTAAGTTAGGGATTTTTTTTTTTCTTTTGTGTTTATTTGTGTATTTTGTTGGGGTTTTTGTTGTTGCTTTAACATAACTGCAATGTACTGAATCTGTTGTTACCGTACAGCTCCTGCACCTTCTCCATGCTAAAACTCTTTTCTGTCTCTTTTCTTGCTAGTTGTGGTGGATTGACTCTACCACAAGGGAGAGAACTGGAAGAGTAAAAGTGAGAAAACTTGTGGGTTGAGATGAAGACAGATAAAGTGAAGGAAGGAGCAGGGTAAAACCCCAAGTGATGCAAAAGCAGCCATTTGCCACCTCCCACAAGCAGACTGGTACCCAACCAGTCTCAGAACAATGGCTATTTTGGAAAGACCAAACCCACAGCTTTTATTGTTGAACATGATGTCATCTGGAATGAATTATCCTGGTGGTCAGCTATTCTGGTCATGTTCCTCCCAACCTGTTGTCCATTTGCAGCCTGCTAGTGGTGGGATGGAGCACAGTGAGAAGCAAGCACTGGCCCATGACAGCTGAAACACTGGTGTGTTAACACTGTTCCAGTCACAAATGCAAAACACAGCCCTATATGGGTTTATGTTACTCTGTCCCAGCAAGACCTGTTACACTAAAATCACATAATAACTGTTTTGCCTCAGCTGTTTTGGAGTTGTTACTGTTTGCATTACTTATTTTATGTTTGAAGAATTACAGTTCATTCACTCCATTCAGCGTGCTTAAAAGGGAAGCTTGTTCGTCATTTAACTTGCATTTCTCATTTGTTTTTACTTGACAGCATTATTCCTGGTGTTCAGAAAATCTGGATTCGTACATGGGGATGTTCTCACAATAATTCAGATGGTGAATACATGGCTGGGCAGCTGGCTGCATATGGATACAAAATTACAGGTAACAGTATGAGTGAGCCCTGTAATTCAGTTTTTCTGGGGTGAATGCTCAGAGCTGTCAAGCTGTCATCAAATGTTTTCAGTCTTAATTATGCTTTTAAAAATTCTCTTCTGATCCCTTTCCGATCGGAAGGTGAGGAGGTAAAGTGTTTTCGTGGCATTAAGCAGAATGATTACAGGATGAGTGCTTTCAGAATGGTTAGATTTTCTTGATACCAGGGTAAACATCAGATAGATGTCATTCAGTGCCTTTTTTTGACGTTTTACTTGCTAAACTGAATTGAAAAGTTTTCATAACAGTGGATGGGAAATATATTAATTCTTGTTTTTAACTGTAGTTGATGGAACCCAAGGGGAAGAGGGAGAGAGGCAGTGTGTTTTCACTTGGTGATGTTTGCAGTGGAACAGAGGTGGTGTACTCCAGGTGAATGATCTTTTGTTTCAGGAGAGATGATCAGTAGGATGGAGGTGGGATGATACAGGATTGTACCTTGTAGGTTCCAAAGAGCTGAGAATGCTATTTCTCCTTCCATTCCAAGTATTTAAAAATCTCCCCATCATCTGTTCTGCCTCCCCAATCCTAAAAATACCCCTGAACTTGTGGTTATGCTGACCACATTCCATCTCATTAATGCAGAATATGCTGACAAAAAAGTTGAAAAGTTGGATTAATACCATGTTTCAATAGACAAGTGTCATCTTAATACTTTTGTGTAGCTTTTGATTAGTCAAAACAGAAACTTAGATTTTATTAATTCATTCAAATTCAGGTGTGTCTTGCACCTAAACTTGTATGCTGGAAGACTACAATGTTGTCTGTCCTGACAGTTTTCTAAAAACAATCCTGATTTCAAGAATGGCTGTTTCTTTTCTTGAACATGTCATGACACTGTTAAACAGTTTTTATTAAATTAAGCATCTCATTTTCCTTTACTGCTGTTGATCTTTCTTATGTAGAAATAAGACACTGAATTATTCAAGTGCTGAATTGTTTTAGGGAACCCAGATTATTAAATTGTAGTACAGCTCTGGAGCAGATATGCTCTTTCCACAGACAAGTGGAGTGCTGGCCCAAAAAACCTTATTTGTGGCAGCTCTTTGTATAAGACTGTAAATATGTTCTCATTATGGCTTTCTTAAATTTAATTCCTCTTTACCATAGTTGTTCTAATGCATATTGTTCCAGAAGCTACTTTTGGCTTGTCAAGGTTCAGATGGCCATTCTGTGCTCTTACAGTTTCAATGGAGAGATGTAGGAAAGATGGAAGTGCAGTGCAGGAAGGAACTCTCTTAAATTTGTGATACCATATCTTTTTAGAAAACTAAATGTTTACAACATTGGAATAGAAATAAGTCTGCATCTAGAACCTGAAACTGAGAACTAAAAACCTAGTAAAAGTTGCACTTGCTGGAGGAGGAGTCCCAGAGCAAGTTTGGTAGTTGTACATGAAATTGACCTCTGGTTTCTAGTCATTATTAAATCTAAGTCTTGATTTAGTTTATGCTATTGTATGTACACACATTAAATGTAACAAACAAAAAAGCCTCAATGCTAGGTGATAGGCAGAAGTTATGCAGTGTAGTTTCTTCTTTTTGAAGTTAAGTAATTCTTGTCAATCTGTTCTTAAGAAAGCATGTTTTCTTTTTTTATATTAAGTCATTTGTGAAGTTCAGATAGAATGTCACATAGGGATTTAATCTTTCTGTCCTATACAGTGAAGCAGCTACTCTGTAAATAGTAACTGTTGCTTAATGTGATCCAAATGTCAAACATTTCTTGAAATTAAACTTAATATTGTTTATGGTATGCAAAAGATAAGAAGAAAATGTTTTGTAGGAGGTATTTTGTAAATCAATCCATGTGTTGCTAAAATTCATTAGTTTTACGTAAAACTGTTATAATCTTGGGGAAGAGATGATAGAAATGCTCAATAAGATGAAAGATTGTTGTCACAGTGTCTTGGACAGCTATTCCTTAAATAGAAGTGTTAGAATTAGCCTATTTCCTACATGTTCCTAAGTGTTTGAGACAATACTTATTGAAAAGACACTGGAATAAAGTTCTGGCTTTAGAAAATAAGATGTGAGCTTTACTTGCAGTTATTGCTGCATTATGAAGGAGTCATGCACTGTTTCTAGTGTCTTTTGTCTAATTGCAAGATTGGAAAGAAATGCAGAAGGAAGAAAAACAGCATCTGACTCCTGTTGCTAACTGGAAGTTTTAACAATGCAACCTGCCTTACAGGTTGACTTATCTGAAACTGAACATGGATATAATGTCCTCCTTGCCTTTCATGTGTTTCAAAAATGTTCTTTCTGTACAAGCACTCTTTGTTGCTTCTGGGAGTGTCTGTATCCAGAGGTGAAAACTGAGGGCTGTGCTTTTCACAGCAAAGATTTCCTCTGTCTGCAGAGACCAGAGTGTGAATCAGCAATATACAGATACTGCAATAACAGCAATGGTGATTATAAGTCAGGGACTGCATCAGCTTAAAAATAGGCAAAGGGAAGCCAGCAGAAGAGCTGAACCTATTTTTGTATCTACTTTCACAGCGTGAAGGTGGGCAGCATTCTGAACAAATCTTGCATACCATCCTGTGGGAGCACAAAGCTCCTTTGTGAGCCTGAGCCACACAGAAATGTGTGGACCAGCTGCTATCAGTGTAGGGCTGTATCATGGGTACTTGTTCATATTCTGAAAACGGTGTAGCTGATGGTGGCTTTACTGGTTCTAAAACTGGTTTTGGTTTCTTGGCAGCATGACTTGCTGTATAGTTTAGACATGCCTGCAGACCTGCTGGAGTGCTCCCTGTGAGATACGCCCTGGAGGAAGAAACTCTCATGGTACAGACGAGTAATGCCTGCTGTGAAAAACAGGAAGTGGGCGAGCTGGGAGCTTTCAAATATTGTGAGGAAGATTTTTGTTTGGGAAGGGAGTTCAGTATGTTTGCCATGTAGCTGCACTTTCTCTCTGGAAAATGGAACTGCACATGTATAGTCAGACAGAATGCTTTGACTTCTGAAGTGGGTAGTTGTATTTACATATGTTGACATCTGTATGTTTCTAGTTCTGTGAAATTAATGGGTTGTGGCCCAGCTTTGTATGCATTTTGATAGATCAAGACATTTAAATATACTTGTTACTTTGTACAGATTGCTTCTGGTTGAGGACTGTTCAGGTCCAAAGCCTTCCCTCCTCAGCCATTGTAAAACATGCTGGGGGCAGGAAAGGCATTGCTAGTAACTTAGAAAAACCAGAAAAAATGAATACTTTCTGTTTTAGGAAGACGGAGCAAAACCTGTTATTAAACATTCAGTGAGGCTAAACCAGTCACAGTTTATCTGCACTACAATTTTGTGTATTTTAGAAATAAATGCGAGCACTGAACATACTCCTTCTCTAGCATGGGATTCTACAAACAATAATTATTTCTGCTAATTCAGTGGGCTTGGCTTTGATGTAGCACTTAGAAACTGGGTTATGTTACAGACCTTTAGCTTTACTTGTGCAGTTTTAGACTAATTTAAAATTAATTTGGACATCCTATTCACTGTCTCCGAAATTTCTTCTGTAAGTGTGTTGGATGGAAAGTTGGTGTGTAAAGCTCACTCCATTATTGTGTTTAGTTGGCACAGCTTGTATCAGTGAGACTAGCCAATTCTTATTGAATTCTTACTGAATCTTAGTATTTGTAGTCCAAATTATGTTTTACAGCTCTCTAACTCCCTGTGCAGAGAATTTATATATTTTTCTAAAGCAAATATGAAATAATATTTTGAAATCCTGTTAAAGAAAGGATCTGAGGTGTTTCACCTCTTCTACTTGTTAATTTTCTAAAGACTTGTCAGTTTTGCTTACTAGTGGATATAACTGAGGTATCATTTAGACTCTCCATCTACTTAAACAACACATTTGAGTAGAAGAAAGAAGGAAGAAGACAAGGAAGGAAAAACGATCTCCATAAGACCTCATGTTGAAAAGAAGACAGGTGTAAAAGGAAAGAGTCTGCTGTTGAAAAGCAGATGAGGTGCTACAATCTAAAATGGACTTCAGCGTTCAAAGGCATTGTCTTGTGTTCACTGTGTTGCATAAGCCATGCTTGTGTAGACTTTGGCCATCCCCATACAGATGCAGCAAAGCATGCTGCAGCATGAGTTTTATTCATCCAAGTGCAAAATAAAGAAAATTACTAAGATTGTAGGGGCATTGATTCATGGGTTGTGAATCACTTCAGAATATGATCCTTTCTTTCAAGTGTTGTTTTAAAAGTACTTTTTTATGACACAATAAAATATTAATACTAGATTTTGATTTATTTTTTGTTTTAGAGACCTCTTTAATAGGTTACTGTATTATTGAAATAAGCTCTCTGCAGCCTACATAGTGTTGAAGTTGATGAAGTATTTTGACTAAGATCTCTGTTGGTTTCCAGTGTATGCTTTTCCTTGCTCAGAATCAGCAGTTGGTCTTTCCATTTTTTGTTCTGTACCCTGCTGATAATGCTCCTGTGTTCCTTCATAAGTATCACGTAAAATGGTAATGACTACTGTGCAATTTTTGGGGTGAGCCATCCTCATTGTGAGGTATTTTTGGTATTCTTTATTAAGCTGAAAGACAAATCATTATTAGCTGCTCATTAAGTGCCTTATCTGTCAGAGAATTCAAGGTTTGTCCTTATGTTTGGATTTGTACTTTTCAAACGGTTGTGAGTGCAGTTGCAGTTTAAAAAAAAAAAATCCAAATAGAAGATAATTTACAATCTTTTTTTGAGGGCAGGGTATGCATGGTGTATGCTTAAATACGCAAAATACCCTACACTACTTTTCTGTTGAAAAAAGGTGTTTCTGTTTTCTTTACAACACTGCAGTCATGAAACTGTCTCTAAAGCAGCTGAGCAATGGTGAAAAGTGAACATAGAATGAAATTCTGGTGTATGGTACCCTCAGTGAAAAGTTCCCTTATTGTCTCTAACTTGTAGAGTTGATGCTGAGCGAGGCAGT